ATGGGGGCAGCGAACGAAGCGTTGTGGGCATTAGTCGATGTGACCTGCCTGCTGCAACGAACAAAACTGCATCCACGAGATGCAACGCACTTGAATGAAAGCATCCAAAAATACAAGCAAAAGTGGGATGTCGCCTACGCGGCGATCGCAGGGGCAAGGCCCAAATTCCACTACTCATTACACCTCCAAGCCCAAATTCAAAAATATCGTCGACACATCGATTGCTTTGTAGGGGAGCGCAAGCATCGTGTGTTTAAGTCCATAGTAGCACCGCGGCTTTCCCGATTGGGGTGCTTTTCTCGAAGCACCCTTTTGCAATTAACAGAAATCGAATTGACTACGAGTCATCCGGAAAGTGAGTATAGCGGCCGACTGGTAGGCAAGTCCACGCACGACGTGGAGCTGGCAAAGGAACTGGGGCTGCCTCATACCGTTGCCTTTGCCAAAGGCATTCAAATCCATTGTGTGGAGTACTCACGCGGTACCTTTGTGCAAGTCGCAGCCAAGTGCTGCATCGAAGTTGTCTGTGGCCTTCTGCAGGACGATTCTCTTTCTGTAGTGGTGCAGCCCTTGCAACCACGCATCTCCGAACTTTCCATTATCAAATGGGAACGCCGCAGCAGAGGCACGTCCTTGCAGCAACCAAGTTGCTGCTAACTGAACCCATGCGCTTGCTGCGTGAAGACCAAAACGGTCTCTGGCTGCTGCGCTAGCAACAAACGCATCGAGGCCGGATAAAAATCAGCAAATCTGACTCTGATGTTGCAACAAAAAAACCTTAAATTCCCACAAAAAGTAACACATGATAAAAACAAGAAAAAAATATGAAACAGTTTGCTTCACTTAGCGGTCACTTAGCTCACACTTAGCGAGACCAAAACCTAAGTGCCAGCTAAGTGCCAGCTAAGTGCCTAAGTTGCCCGGCGACTCTTAAGTAAGATGCTTATCCTTTTGGAATTGATCTTTCGGATAGACCTTGCAGCTATCATCCAAAACTGGGACATGACCTTCGATCTTGAGCTGGACAACTTTGTCATCCGGACGAACTAGAATCGGTTTGCCATTGGCAGGCCAGACGAAACTGTATCCCTGATCTACACATCTAGTTCCTACAGAGAGCACAGCTGGGGTGTGATCAAGTACATACGGATGCACAGGATCTGGCAATGCGGACAGCTTGACATCAGCAACCTCACTGGCCTCGGTTGAGCCATTGGCTGTAACTAAGGAAATCGGATGCTCGGCTGCACGGCAGTTCTGAGCGCTGACATCCCTCAGCATACCCTTAGAAACAAGATCGGACTCACTTCCCGAATCGACAAGCCAACTGACACCGGCCTTTGGCGCAGCCGTGGCAATGGATGGAAAACGCCCTACTTCTCTAAGAGCTTTGGGACCGCTGACAAATCTGCATTCTTTGCAAGTGATGTCACATGTGTCCTCATTCCAACAACAGAACCCGCAACTAGGTGCGACATCCGAATCATGGAGCTTCACAGTTTCCTGGAGCTGTCTTGCACGTACCTGAGCTTCATGTTGCTCGACCTTAGAAGAAACAGGAACGTCTTCGGCTGTCTTGTACACCTTAGTGAACTCTCTTGGACGGTGCTTGACGGGGACTTGACGACCAACTGCCTTCACCTCGATCACATGTGGGACCTTTCGGAATCTGAGACGCTTCATTGCTGACACAGGACTCATCAAGCATGGGGCAGCGTTCGACTCCTTGGCCTTCTTCTTGGGAGCGGGTGAATTGGCCCTTTTGGTGTCTTTCGTGGCGGCAGCAGCTTTGTCATCATGTTTATAAAAACATTTGTCACCTCGTCTGCACTTACCCTGGGCATGATAGATACATGGGGTCTTTGCCATTTCTTCTTTGGACATTTTCTTCCCCTTATCATCTTTGTTGCCCCTCGATGGTGAACGTGTCTTGTTTCTTCTGGGTGATTGTGTTCGGGACATATCCTCCTTTACATGCTTGAATGGACACTTCTTCCCCTTATCGCATTGACCCTTTTGGAACTTGTAACAAATCTTGTCACCCTTACCCCGTTCCTGCGATCGACCACGACTTGGAGAACCCTTTCGGTTGGGATTGCCACAACCATCGCCTTTGGCGGGTGCAGCTTTTGTGTCCTTCGGTCCACCAGCCTTGTTCTTCTCCGCGATGCGGTTCCGATTCTCCCTCAACCGTTCTCTGTCGATCAAGTTCTTCATGGACTGGTGGAGAAAGCCGTAAGACTCCTCATGATCGAGCTTTCTCGGAGGCCCGATCGAACACCTCGATGTCGTACTTCAGCAACTGACTTGGTCGGATCTGTCTCAACAGAATGTCCCTCAACACAGCATCGTCGGCGGTAACAGCCATGCCGGCTAAGGTGGCATCCCATTTGTTGATGAATCTTCTAAGATCCTGGACCGTATCACCTACCTTGACAACACCCAAAAGATCTTCTACTCTGTAAAGGCTACCTGCTTCTTCTGATGTTTTGAAGTAGTCCTCAAGCATGAGCAGAACATATCTTCCCCTGACCTGGATGCCTTTTCGGGATTGTTGCTCTTTGAAGTTCAGTATCCTAGTTGCGAGGTCCCCACCGGCTGAGCGCGTGAGCGCTGCTGATAACTTTGTATCCAGCGTAAGGAACTTCCCAGGATCTTGAAGCTTCTTCTCAAGCTCTTCTCTGGTGCACGCCTGATCGTACACTTCGTTGAGCCAAAGCCATGCTTCATCTGGACGATCTGAGCAACTCTTGACCTCATCCCTGACATGATTCTTCCAAGTCCTGTACGATTCCGGAGCTGGCATGTTGTTCAGCTTGATGAGCTCGGCCTCCTTAGTCTTTGGCTTATCCTTCTCATCCCTTTGGGTTAAGGCTTTCACCAATTCAATAAGTTCTGAGGGAGGGACCCATCATTTGCTGTTGCTTGGTTACGCTCTCGGGGGAATCATTTGGGGGAGTTTTGATAGCTTCAGTGGGAGTCATGAACCCTGAATGCGTCGGCAAGTGAGGCTTGTCGTCACCGACAGCTGGCTTCTGCTGGGGAGTGCCACCTTTGAGCAACTCATCCAACTTGGCTTTTGCCTCTTGGGCCAACACGGCGGGTGTCTTCAACTCTGGAATCGGCTCGTCACTACCTCTGGCAGCTTGTGCATCGGGTGCTCTGGGAGTAGCAATGTTGAAGTGGGGCACACCAGCGATGGTGGCTGGCTCGGCTTTCTGGACGGATGCTTTCGGGACGGATGCTGGTTGCGCTTTGGCAACATGATGCAACTGCTCCTGAAGGTCATCGATTCGGTCCTGAAGGCTGAGATTTTGTGCCGCTGCTTCATTGATCTTTTCGGCCATTTCCTTTTTATAGTTTTCAAACTCCGTTTTCAACTGGATAAACCTGGCCTGTTCAATTGCAGCTTGATCTTCATATTGCTTCTTCGTTGCAGCTATGGCATTCGTTGCATGTTCTACCGTCTGTGCATAGGAGGCTTCGAATTCACTAGTGATACGTTGCCTTTCCTCTGCGATCTTTTGGTCATGCTTTGTGCTTGCCTCTGCTTTGAAGTCCTCTACCTTTTTGTCATGCGATGCTTGAGCCTGGTTCAACCTGACCTCTAACTCATCACCTCTCTTCCTTTCCACGTTGAGTGCTCCAATTGCTTTGTTCTCTACATCCTGCAACCTTTGCTCATAATCCTGCTCTTGCATGACGAGTGTACTTGACCATTCACTTCGGATTGAGTCAACTACTCCTTGCATTATCTGAAGGTGCCTCTGTTCAGCTTCCCTCATGACTTGCAGTGTGTTTCCACTTGTGATCTGAGACATGTTGTTTTGTATGAATGTAAAGTACGCTACAACTGGCTGATACATGGTCTCGTCATCCATCGGCACGGAGTCAGTCGCCTCCGGCCACATTGGGCACGGCGACAATGGATGGACCTGACCCTGGAACGGCGAGAGGAAGGTCAGTTGGGGTCCCCATAGCAAAGTAGTGAGACTACGGCTGATAACCTGTATTTTCCCAGGTCAGCCGACAATGGGGGAAAAACACAATACCGTTAAGCAGCTAATCCTGTTTTGAACCAACGCTGCATGACAGTCAATGATATATATACACTACATGTGGTTTTACTGCAGGAGTTTTTACAAAGATCATTTCGTGGCCAATTATTTCGTAACATACTTGGTGGTTTGTTGGTTAAAGATTTGACTGGTGTGAGTCCACAAATAGCTTGGGATCCGACTGAAAGCACAGCAAAGCACGGCAACAATAGGGTGAATGGACATCGGGGCAAATCTCTTGCACCTCAGCTAACAATCCAAAGAGCAAAACCTCGAAGCAGAAATGATGAAGTCCGAAGTTCTGAATAAGAACTTGGATGACATTTTGGAACAGTACGCCGGAATATAAATGGCATGACAAACACGGGTATGGTTTATGGCAATTTCTGGGGCAAGGAGCTGGTCCGGCAACGTGCTTGATGTTGTGACAGCAGCGATCTCTGAGCTAACCACTCTCATTCTGTCTGCTCAGGATACAGCTGGGCAATGTCCACTGAACACCTTGGAAAATATTGGAAGGCACCGAGAGGAACTTGGTGAACAATGTGAAACGCTCAAATTTGGTATCTGCTTCCAATAAAATCAATAAAACAATGGTAGATAGCTGAATTGTGTCATCCAAAAACTCTGCAAGTCCAACCTTTGCCTCTTTCATCCTAACACCTAAGTTCCTTTCAAAAGACTGTCTGTTTGAAACACTCTGAATCTGGATTGTTGGGACAGAAAAAGTATATAGCACCCTGTATATACATAGAGACTCTATGACTCTATGTGGATGTGTGCAGGCCTGTTACAGATAGAGGATGATAGAGGCAGCAACATTCGGTTGAAGCTGACTGGAGTCAATTCACATCTGCTGAAAAAATACTTAGTCAGTCGTTAAAACGACAGTCGCATCTCTACATCCCAAACTTACTCAAACACCAGGTTTTGATCAGAAGCTTTTCTTCCTCAGGCACACAGTTTTCCACACACGCAGTGCGTCTGGTCCATATGAAAGTCAAACGTGAGGGACATGTGGAATGATACTTTCCAAATTGTTGCACTTTGCTTTGGAACTGTACAGGCACCATGCCCACCATTGCTGCCTGTCATGCCGCCATTTCAGCGGTCATACTCATCGGCTACCATACCGAATGCAAGAAAAAACATAGTACATGATTGCTTTGCCATGATGGTACCATTCCCAATGCTGCTGCAAGCCATCAGCTCCTCGATGAAAAACAACTGCCTGAGTTATGTTCCAGGCCCCACCAGAGGTGCTCAACGCCAACAGAAGCAATGCAGTAGAAAGGAGAAGTTGAGCAGATACTGTGAGCTTGTCAATGGCCCGAAGACTGCGCCAGTCTTCAAGAGCCTCCTTTATCACAGTAACGAGCATAGAAGCTGCCAAAGCGCCACCAATGACCGGAGTCGCAGCAGCTGCCAGCAGAGTGGCAAGTTTGAGGAACACCACGGGGGCCAAAGACCAAGCTTGGCTGACAGCCAGTTCTGTCACTCGCAGGAAGAGGTTCCCAAAGAAGTCGAACGGAAGAGTTAGCCCAAACAACAACAACCAAAACAAAAAAAAAATACTTCTGGCGAAAATGCACAGCCGCTTCCGGTTTCGAAATTCAAGCTGCTGATATGGCGAAGGTAGAACATCGGAATCTCCATGCAATCCTTTGGTCAGCAAAGGCTGCGACGCAGCTATGCCCTTAACTGCCCCGTATGGCATGTTGAATATGTTGCAATAGTAGTTCACAAGGGATAGGACCAAGTTGTTCATCTTCACATGACTAAAGTATAGCAGCAAAAGCGCCGCACCCAAGGCCGTCAAAGTTGCGAAAGGCTGCAGTTGGTAATAGCAAGCACCATTACCTTCAGGCACTCTGGAGACAAAGACGTCGGTCACAGCAGCTGCCCAGTATAAGGCTGCAAAGGATGCCAGCAACTGAAAAGCCCATGAAAGCACCCCGATCACTAGTGTAAAGTCTTCTGCTACATCTGCCAGCAAAGCCCAGTCATGGGCAAGTTTCATCAGAGTCCACATGGCGAGGCCAAAAAAGTAGACCGTAATGGCACAGCCCTTGTCCGGATTATCCTCAATCTGCTTCCGGACGTTCTGTTTCGCACACAAGCTCGTTGACGTGCGCCGGGTTGGGAAACTCTTTGGTATCAGATGCTGACCAAATCGAATCGAGGATAGGCGGATAGCTTTGCATGAACCCCCACCAAGTGCCTTGGGGATGTAGAGCCGAGAAGTTGCCACCATTCTCAACAGATATAAAGGCTGGGAAGTCCCAAGACAGAAAACTTGAGTTGAGCTGTAAGTTTGCAATGGTTTGAGGCATTGCTTCGGTCCTAAAATACTGAATGTTGTAGCATGGCTTGCTGCAGGCGTGAAGATCTGTCATTGGATTGAGCTTGTAGGTCACCATAGCAAGGAAAGGAGCCCATCCGAGACAAGTAAGAATCAAACATTCGATGTATCGCGACAAGCCCATCGGTACAAACTATATGGAATGAGAATGAGGAATGCGATGCTCGAAGCAGAGAAACTGTGAGCTATAATTGAGCAGCATTGGCGATGGTGATGAACAGGTGCGTGGTGAACATGATCGTCTTCTATGTCATGAAAAATGTCTGAAGCACTCAACACGGGTCAATGGGCAGCTTTACCCCGAAAATCAGATCAGCAACCAACAGCAAGTGTCACAAATGGATGCTAAGCCTTTCATCTCATGCCTTTGACATCAGCTTGAAACGCTAAATCCAAGGAGATTTCAACATGGTCAATCTGTCAATCCAACATGTTCAAGTCGTCAGCTCCCCAAAGATACACTCCTAAGTGGTCCTCAATTCAAACAAGTGGCAGATGGCATCAAGCTCCCATCTCGACAAGCGCTGGCTCACTGAAAAGCACGAGGATGTTCTGGAAATTACTGGAATCTTTGGGTAGCCGTGGGCTCTAATGACCTGTTCATGTGGTAATTCTGGCTGTGCTCATATGGTGGGGTCTACGTACCTGGTTGTGGATTTGAAAGTATATGTCAAACAACGGTGAATTCATCACATGTAGGAATTTGACCATGTTTTTTTCATTTTGTTGGGATGCTGACTGTTTCCTGGTGCCAAAATTCAAGCATTGCAGGGATGCAGGATTGCATTGTGTCAAAGATACTTTGGATTCCTTTGGATGTTAACATCCAGTGAAGAACTAATTAGGCCACCAATCGGCTGTTCCAGACACTTGCGTCCTTGTGCGAATGCTCCAAATGCGCCGGTCTGTCGTCTGTCGCTGCAAGAGTGTCAAAAGCGTTTGTCGGCGCCGCGCTGCCGCACCGGCACTTTTCTTGAAATCCCTAGGGTACTTCCGTGACCCCAACGGAAAAACAAATCAGCAATCTTTGCAATGGGACCCTAGTATCTCTAGCAACGAAAGAAGAATTCACCAGTGGCATGCATGGCATCTGGCTTAAATCTGGGTTTCACAGATGCAACAACACTCTTGGTATGTCGGACCGACATGACAATCCGTCATGACATTTGTCAGGACCTGAAGAATTGGGAAGAGGCGTCATGAATTATAGTCTAATAGAAATCACACCTGGGAAGGAAGGAAAGTAAAGCCGGCCTTAGATCGAAAGAAATTTCCGTGGAACAAACACACAAAAAAAAACAGAAAGACTGCCTCCGCAGCACAGGCCAAGGAATCGAATAGTCCTACGCCACCCCTGTCCCTCACCCACACTCCGAGATTCGAACACCCTACTGCAGCCACTACTTGCCAGACCCCACTTCCCACTTCGAATGGGTGAACTTAGCCGACTTAGCCTCTCGGAATGACATTCTACAATCAGACAATCAGCACCAAGGACCAGCAAAGCTGTTCACTACACTCAGAAGGACATGGAAAAGACTCTATCATCTAGAAACATGAGTAACAGAAATGCCATATCATGACATGCTATAACAGTACAGGACTCATTCTATGGCTGGAACAATCAGTTTGAAGATGTTCTTTGCCTTTGGAGTGAAAACTTGCCGGTGACACTTGGCAGGGTCGTTCTCAGAGTCATTGACAGACTCGTTGTCATACTGATCCAAGTGCTCCAAAGCCCATGTTGCCCGTTCCGGCATGGGCGCCATGGCCATGCATTGAGGATTCATTGTCAATCTCATTCATCGTGTCATTGCCACTTTCTCCACTTTCTCCACTTTCTCCACATTCTCCACTTTCTCCACACTTTCTTCAGTCTCCATGTTCAGCAAAGAACCGTTCCACTCCGTCATATTTGCCATTGCGGACATGTTCTCGGCTTTGTCCATCATCTCCACTGCCAAACTCCAGGTTCCATTGCTGAGGTTGCTGTTATTGAGATCTGGCTCCAAAATGTCCCGGTCCTTGAATCCATCAGCCAAACCTCCCTTTGCTATGCGCACCGGTTGAAACATTTAAACATTTCTCCATTTCACTGCCAATGCTCATGAATCCGCCGACCCCAGCAAACGGCAGGGGGAGCGCGCCCGAGAAAAAGTTGTAGCCTGCCCTCAAACGCTCCGCAGCGCCTTTGCCGGCGCTTTTGGCCATCTGCCGGGCCTTTGCCCAGTACTGCGGGCCTTTGCCCAGAACTAGTGGCTTCAGAAAGCAACGTTAGGCACTAGCCTGCCCTCAAACCCTCCGCAGCGCCTTGGCCGGCGCTTTGTGGCCATCTGCCGGGCCTTTGCCCAAACTTTTGTAATGGCTTCAGAAAGCAACGTTAGGCACTCGCCTGCCTTCAAACCCTCCGCAGCGCCTTGGCCGGCGCTTTGTGGCCATCTGCCGGGCCTTTGACCAGACTTTTCTAGTGGCTTCAGAAAGCAACGTTAGGCACTAGCCTGGCTTAAAACCCTCAACATAGCCCCAAGATAGGCCGCCGACCATCAAAATATCCTGCGTTTTACGGTGTTTTTTTGCTGTTCCCATTTTTCGGATCTTTTGGCTCAACATGGGCCAACATGAGGCAAACATAGGCCAACATAGCCACAAGATGGGCCCACGTTGCCCGCAAGATAGGCCAACATACGCCAACATAGGCCAACATATAGCCACACGATGGGCCAACATAGTTGGGCCCCTGGCCGGCTGTCGCGCGTAAGCGCTTAAATCCGGCCAGGGGCCCCCTGGCCGTGTCCTTGCCGTACGGCAGTTCTCTCCTCTCCGTAGGAGAGAGGGGCCGCCGCCCCAGCCGCAGACCACCCGGTCCGGCCAAAAACTACCGCGTTTTACGGTGTTTTGTGCTCGTCGCATTTTTTCGGCTTTTCCCGGATCTTGTGGCTTAAGATGGGTCAACATGGGCCAACATAGGCCTCAAGCGGGGCCAACATAGGCTTCAAGATGGGCCAACATAGGCCTCAAGATGGCCCAACATAGCCTCAAGATGGGCCAACATAGCCCCCAAGATGGGCCAACATAGGCCCAAGATGGGCCAACATAACCCCCAAGATGGGCCCACATAGGCCATTGCCCTCAAGATAGGCCAACATAGCCCCAAGATGGGCCAACATAGCCCCAAGATAGGCCGCCGACCATCAAAATATCCTGCGTTTTACAGTGTTTTTTTGCTGTTCCCATTTTTCGGATCTTTTGGCTCCACGCGGGTCAACAAAGGCCTCAAGATCGGCCCACATAGCTTTCAAGATAGGCCAACATAGCCCCAAGATGGACCCACATTGCCTTCAAGATAGGCCAACATAGCCCCAAGATGCCACAAAATGGGCCAACATAGTTGGGCCCCTGGCCGGCTGTCGCGCGTAAGCGCTAAAATTCGGCTCCGCCGGCTCCACACGAGTGGCTTGCCCTACGAGCGTCCCAGAGCGACTAGAGCTCTATGGTGAGGCGCGCCCCAAACCGCCGACCCTCCGACGCCGGGCCCCAAAAAATACCAAAAATCCTTCAGGAGGGTGGGGGAGAGCTTTTTAGACGGAATCCGGGTCGCTCATAAGCGTCTCCAAGAGCAAAATCCCGCCCCCCCCCCTGTTTGGAGGGTACCTAAAATCGGAAAAAAGCGCCGTTTTGACACATTTTTCGGACGATTTTCCGCTTTTCGAAAGTCACAAAATGCTGTAAATTACAGCATTTTTGCGTTTTAACGTCTTTTGCGGGAGCCATGCAAAAACGCAGAAAATGCTATAAATACCAATACTTTTTGGACCCGAGATGCACAAAACACTGCAAATACCAGTGTTTTTGAAAGCAAAGCAAAAAAAACACTGTAAATTACAGAATTTTTGGCGTGTTGATCGCAAAAAATGCTAGTATTTACACGGTTTTTGCAATTTCAAGAAAACGTGGAAGGCACGAAACGCTGTAAATAGCGGTGTTTTTGCCACTTTTGGACGCTGAAACGCTGGTATTTACACAGTTTTTTGCCCGTGACGGTGCCAAACCCCTGTAAATTACAACATTTTCTGCACTTTTTGAACCGATTTTTTTGCCTTGGTGAACGCAAAAAACGCTGGTATTTACGCGTTTCCCAAAAAATCGAAGATCGTGACGTGAACGAAACCCTGTAAATAACAGTGTTTTAGCCACATTCGGGGACTAAAACTGTGGTATTTACGCGGGTTCTTGCCAGCTGACAGCGCAAAATGCTGTAAATTACAGCACTTTGTGCGCTGTTTATGTTCAATTTTTAAACGCGCGATGCTTTCACATGTTCTTTGCATTATTTTGCATTCTTCCACAAGAAACAACGTTGCAGATTGAAACTGGACGACAGCGTGACCCGAAAGAAAGCTGGAGGGAGGAGACGCACAGAAGCTTTTACCCACACACACAGGGGCTTTTACACAGAGAAGTCTTTACACAAAGGAGCTTTTTACATACAGAAGGTTTTACACAGGGAAGTCTTTACTCTAAGGTGCTTTTGCAGACAAACGTCTAGGAGCTTTTACTCACAGAAGTTTTTACACGAAGAAGTCTTTACACAGAGGGCTTTTTACACACAGACGCGTTTGCACACAGAAGCTTTTACACAGAGAAGCCTTTACACAGAGTAGCTTTTTACACACAGAAGGTTTTACACAGAGAAGTCTTTCCTCTGAGGAGCTTTTTCACACAACGTCTTGGAGCTTTTACACACAAAAGCTGTTACACAAAGAAGTCTTTACACAGAGAGCTTTAACACACAGACGCGTTTACACACAGAAGCTTTTACACAGAGAAGCCTTTACACAGAGTAGCTTTTTACACACGGAAGCTTTTACACACAGAGAAATCTTTACACAGACGTGCTTTCACACAGAGAAGCTTTTACACAAAGAAGTCTTTACACAGAGAATCTTTTACACACGGAAACTTTTACACACAAAAGCTTTTACACAGAGAAGTCTTTGCGCAGAGGCGCCTTTACACGAAGTAACAAGTTGAAATTGGCAGCAATTCTTTAGGAAAAACCCTTCGCAGGAGCTTTCGGGAACTCACTTGCTCCCCAAAAAATTGTCTATTCCAACAAATATGTTCCAAAAAACCTAAGGAATATATTTCTGAAGCAGGTCCTCATTCAGTAACTTTCACGCCCACACTGCGATGAAATGGAGGGCCGAGTGGTCCGGCGGAGCCGACGATGAGCGTCAGCTCAAAAAAAAAAAATATATATATATATATGAATGTCTTGCCATCATTCTTTAAGATCATTTCGTGGCCAATTATTTCGTAGCATACTTGGTGGTTTGTTGGTTAAAGATTTGACTGGTGTGAGTCCACAAATAGCTTGGGATCCGACTGAAAGCACAGCAAAGCACGGCAACAATAGGGTGAATGGACATCGGGGCAAATCTCTTGCACCTCAGCTAACAATCCAAAGAGCAAAACCTCGAAGCAGAAATGATGAAGTCCGAAGTTCTGAATAAGAACTTGGATGACATTTTGGAACAGTACGCCGGAATATAAATGGCATGACAAACACGGGTATGGTTTATGGCAATTTCTGGGGCAAGGAGCTGGTCCGGCAACGTGCTTGATGTTGTGACAGCAGCGATCTCTGAGCTAACCACTCTCATTCTGTCTGCTCAGGATACAGCTGGGCAATGTCCACTGAACACCTTGGAAAATATTGGAAGGCACCGAGAGGAACTTGGTGAACAATGTGAAACGCTCAAATTTGGTATCTGCTTCCAATAAAATCAATAAAACAATGGTAGATAGCTGAATTGTGTCATCCAAAAACTCTGCAAGTCCACCCTTTGCCTCTTTCATCCTAACACCTAAGTTCCTTTCAAAAGACTGTCTGTTTGAAACACTCTGAATCTGGATTGTTGGGACAGAAAAAGTATATAGCACCCTGTATATACATAGAGACTCTATGACTCTATGTGGATGTGTGCAGGCCTGTTACAGATAGAGGATGATAGAGGCAGCAACATTCGGTTGAAGCTGACTGGAGTCAATTCACATCTGCTGAAAAATACTTAGTCAGTCGTTAAAACGACAGTCGCATCTCTACATCCCAAACTTACTCAAACACCAGGTTTGGATCAGAAGCTTTTCTTCCTCGGGCACGCAGTTTTCCACACACGCAGTGCGTCTGGTCCATATGAAAGTCAAACGTGAGGGACATGTGGAATGATACTTTCCAAATTGTTGCACTTTGCTTTGGAACTGTACAGGCACCATGCCCACCATTGCTGCCTGTCATGCCGCCATTTCAGCGGTCATACTCATCGGCTACCATACCGAATGCAAGAAAAAAACATAGTACATGATTGCTTTGCCATGATGGTACCATTCCCAATGCTGCTGCAAGCCATCAGCTCCTCGATGAAAAACAACTGCCTGAGTTATGTTCCAGGCCCCACCAGAGGTGCTCAACGCCAACAGAAGCAATGCAGTAGAAAGGAGAAGTTGAGCAGATACTGTGAGCTTGTCAATGGCCCGAAGACTGCGCCAGTCTTCAAGAGCCTCCTTTATCACAGTAACGAGCATAGAAGCTGCCAAAGCGCCACCAATGACCGGAGTCGCAGCAGCTGCCAGCAGAGTGGCAAGTTTGAGGAACACCACGGGGGCCAAAGACCAAGCTTGGCTGACAGCCAGTTCTGTCACTCGCAGGAAGAGGTTCCCAAAGAAGTCGAACGGAAGAGTTAGCCCAAACAACAACAACCAAAACAAAAAAAAAATACTTCTGGCGAAAATGCACAGCCGCTTCCGGTTTCGAAATTCAAGCTGCTGATATGGCGAAGGTAGAACATCGGAATCTCCATGCAATCCTTTGGTCAGCAAAGGCTGCGACGCAGCTATGCCCTTAACTGCCCCGTATGGCATGTTGAATATGTTGCAATAGTAGTTCACAAGGGATAGGACCAAGTTGTTCATCTTCACATGACTAAAGTATAGCAGCAAAAGCGCCGCACCCAAGGCCGTCAAAGTTGCGAAAGGCTGCAGTTGGTAATAGCAAGCACCATTACCTTCAGGCACTCTGGAGACAAAGACGTCGGTCACAGCAGCTGCCCAGTATAAGGCTGCAAAGGATGCCAGCAACTGAAAAGCCCATGAAAGCACCCCGATCACTAGTGTAAAGTCTTCTGCTACATCTGCCAGCAAAGCCCAGTCATGGGCAAGTTTCATCAGAGTCCACATGGCGAGGCCAAAAAAGTAGACCGTAATGGCACAGCCCTTGTCCGGATTATCCTCAATCTGCTTCCGGACGTTCTGTTTCGCACACAAGCTCGTTGACGTGCGCCGGGTTGGGAAACTCTTTGGTATCAGATGCTGACCAAATCGAATCGAGGATAGGCGGATAGCTTTGCATGAACCCCCACCAAGTGCCTTGGGGATGTAGAGCCGAGAAGTTGCCACCATTCTCAACAGATATAAAGGCTGGGAAGTCCCAAGACAGAAAACTTGAGTTGAGATGTAAGTTTGCAATGGTTTGAGGCATTGCTTCGGTCCCAAAATATTGAATGTTGTAGCATGGCTTGCTGCAGGCGTGAAGATCTGTCATTGGATTGAGCTTGTAGGTCACCATAGCAAGGAAAGGAGCCCATCCGAGACAAGTAAGAATCAAACATTCGATGTATCGCGACAAGCCCATCGCGCAAGCGGTGCGGTACAGACAATATGGAATGAGAATGAGGAATGCGATGCTCGAAGCACAGAAACTGTGAGCTATAATTGAGCAGCATTGGCGATGGTGATGAACAGGTGCGTGGTGAACATGATCATCTTCTATGTCATGAAAAATGTCTGAAGCACTCAACACGGGTCAATGAGCAGCTTGACCCCGAAAATCAGATCAGCAACCAACAGCAAGTGTCACAAATGGATGCTAAGCCTTTCATCTCATGCCTTTGACATCAGATTGAAACGCTAAATCCAAGGAGATTTCAACATGGTCAATCTGTCAATCCAACATGTTCAAGTCATCAGCTCCCCAAAGATACACTCCCAAGGTCCTCAATTCAAACAAGTGGCAGATGGCATCAAGCTCCCATCTCGACAAGCGTTGGCTCACTGAAAAGCACGAGGATGTTCTAGAATTTACTGGAATCTTTGGGTAGCAGTGGGCTCTAATGACCTGTTCATGTGGTAATTCTGGCTGTGCTCATATGGTGGGTCTACGTACCTGGTTGTGGATTTGAAAGTATATGTCAAACAATGGTGTATTCATCACATGTAGGAATTTGACCGTGTTTTTTTTCATTTTGTTGGGACGTTGACTGTTTCCTGGTGCCAAAATTCAAGCATGGCAGGATTGCAGGAGCGCATGTTTGTGAGAGAATCTTCGGGTACCTCCGAAAATCCAGGAATTTCTTTGATTTCATTCACATCATCACATGGCTGAAGGGAACTACCTACTTCGGATGTTAGATTCCACCAAAGGGGCCACCCACAGGCCGTTCGAAACACTTTCGTCCTTGTGTCAATGCCCCAAATGCGCTAGTCTGTCGCCGCAAGAATGTCAAAAACATTGCTTGGCGCCGCAATGGTGCAATGGCACTGTTTCCCAATATTTTTCCTGAAATCAGAATTCTCTGAACTGGGTGCCTCATATCTCCATCAAGCAAAACTTCACAAATGGCATGCACGGATCTGGCTCAAACCTACTCTTCAAAGATGCAATGACATTCCACATGGACTTGCCCCGCCCATTTTGTCACTTTTTTGTCAGCGCGAAGTCGATCTTGTCCGGTGGCAAATCCCGGGAACGGCAAAGATCACAGTCACTCTTCAGATTCTAAAGATTCTAAATTGTTTCGAATGAGATCCAGATAAAGTGAACGCTCTGATTTTGGCTTTTCCAAGATTAGTTATGCGAAGCGATTCACAGTAAGACTGGGCGCTGGAGATTGTTGTATTGACAGATCCCTTGCAGCTTTTGGTTTCTATCAAACAAGAAAAGTGAGCTGCAACCTCTCGCGAGATCCAGAGCATGGAATGCAATGAACATGCCGTCACTGGAGTTCTTTGCAAAACTTCTTAAAGGCACTCCATATTGCACAGTCAAATCCGTTCGACGCACGTCGATCGGTTTGATCCTCAATACATGTTGAAATCCCAAGGCCCCATGCTGTGCCATTCGTTTCTTGTGCGTTTCTATGCGCTGGATCATGCACGCCGCCAGGAAGCCATGTCTGGAAGTTTGGCCCTGGACATCAAGCTGCGTATCAAATGAAGACGAGGACAGGCGGAGCAAGCAGGCCAGGCATCTGTGTGATTCTCCGTGCGATTGGTACCGCATGTGTGACACGTGCAATCTGTCTGCGTTCTTTCACATTGTGGCATTGAAGCGAAACCTCCTTCACTTTGACCACGTCCATGATGCTCTCGTGTTGACAGCCTCCCGATATATTGTGAATGCACTTTGCAATGCTTAGAGGCTTAGACAGAATCCAGCCAAGGCTTTTATCCTCAGAACCTTCAGTTTATGGAAGCTAAACGCGGCACGAATTTTGGCACTTGATGAAAATCATGCGGTCGACCAAGTTCGATCGATTTCGATATCTTACTAATCTTGGCCACACATGAATCCATAATCAAATCATATCAACTCTATACGGTCATGAATTCTTTCATTCCTTTCATATCCTTTCATGCCCACCTTGAGGGCCGCGAGTTTGATCTGCTCAGATCCACCTCCAATCCGCGTAGCCGGCATAGCCGCCTTCCAGCACTTTCCTGTGGCGCGAAGCGAACGGAAGCGACTGAATTGGAAACTCCTTGGCATCCACACTGCCACAACGCGCTATCCGTGTGGTGGATTTTGTGCAGATTCTGGCGCCGATTCCTTCTGCGTTGACCATGAAGAACTGAGCCATGACCACTGCCAACCTTCGCCGGTGTGTGCCAACTGCTAGATTGTGCTAGTCCATCTTGGCCACAGTGACTTAGAATCCCATGTGGTCCGCTGGATACAGGATCGACATTCACGTCACATATCAAAATCTCAAGGGGGGACGTTTCGCTTGCAGATGTACCGAGTCAAGCTCCACGTTTCCGAAGTGACACGACTGCGCTTGGTTGCTCCAGCCTCAGATGTCCAGTGGCTCCTTCACAGGATCTCCGCGTTGACGACGTTGACGTAAGCTTCGGGATTTTCACCACAGAACTGCCAGCAGCCTCTTGCGTCAAGGCTAGCCAGGCTACCAATCAACATTTTACAATCCAGAGATTGAAAGTAAAAGAAAAAGGATCTAAAACAATCTGAAACAGTGATCGAAGCAATCACCACAGTGCACCAGCAAACTGTAGCGTGTCCCGGTGGTCCCGGCCCGGCCTGCTCTGGAAACTTGGCCGCCATGTGAAGCATTCCAGCAGTCCGGAAGTGTGACCTGAGACATGAAACGAATTGCCAAACGGAAGGGCCTTGGAAGGGACTGTAGGGCACTGTAGGGGCTGTAACAAACCTTTGGCACAAACCTTGGGCTTTTGTCCTGAAATGATGCCATGTGGATTGATAACGTGAATGACATTCCCAAGCCCATCTCGTGTGGTGTCTGCGGCTTCATCACAGCTGGGCCCGCCCTGCGGTTTGGTGCACGGCAGGTCGGGTTGCAGGCCGCCGACCATCCCCCCCGTCAAAAACTACCGCGTTTTACGGTGTTTTTTCTGTTCCCATTTTTCGGAGCATGTGGCTCAAGATGGGTCAACATGGGCCAACATAGGCCTCAAGATGGCTCAAGATGGGTCAACATGGGCCAACATAGGCCTCAAGATGGGCCAACATAACCCCCAAGATGGGCCCACATAGGCCATTGCCCTCAAGATAGGCCAACATAGCCCCAAGATGGGCCAACATAGCCCCAAGATAGGCCGCCGACCATCAAAATATCCTGCGTTTTACAGTGTTTTTTTGCTGTTCCCATTTTTCGGATCTTTTGGCTCAAGATGGGTCAACATGGGCCAACAGAGGCCTGAAGATCGGCCGACATAGGCTTCACGATCGGCCCACATAGCCTTCAAGATAGGCCAACATAGCCCCAAGCTGGGCCAACATAGCCCCAAGCTGGGCCCACATTGCCCGCAAGATAGGCCAACATAGGCCAACATAGGCCAGCATAGCCACAAGATGGGCCAACGCCGGCTGTCGCGCGTAAGCGCTTAAATAATATATAATAATATAATAATAATAATAATATAATAATATATTTAATTATTATTATTATTATTATATATATATATATATATCTGTGCCCCGGTTTCGTACCTTCAACCCCGGCATTCGCAGCAAAGAGCGGTCTCATGAATTGTGGCTCACTGTGCTGCAAAGCACATGTTCATTCCTAGATATGTTGCGAACATTTCCCAATTTGAGGCAGGTCGCTATCATCAATAGTAGACAAGGCGTAGAGCACTATGGGCTCCTGGCCAGAATGAATCTCTGTATGATGTCTGTATGCCAAGTGTATACTACAGAAATGTCTCTATGAACATCTGTCACTGTATCTGTCTACCAGGATCAAAATCCAAAAGCGTCGGTGACTTCTTCATAGTCCCATTCCCCTTGTCAAACTAGCAGAATCTAGCCCAAACAGAGTCACAAGACCTTGACATGAACAAATCCAGCAAGAAAGCCAAATTAAAGCGGTCTTTTTGGAGTGGAATGAATGACCTCAACCCATTCCCGGTCCTTTTCACCTGCTTTCACCTCCATTAACAAAGGACCAGGTTGGTTGAAGCCAGGTCCTTCAACCCCAAGTCAACTGCGTGGCCAAGCAATTTTCCCAGAAAAAATGGCAACACCCAGAGATTGCCAATGATCGAATCAAGAGCATCATGTCGACGACGACGATCCATGATCTACATGGATTGATCAAATTGTCCCAAACAAGATCTGCACAACAAATCGACCTGTCCGAAAAATGGTTGGGACCTGATTTGTCAAATTGCAGGGAAAATCAACAGAATGGCATGTCCAATAATTGTCAACAGAAATGACATGCTGTATCACTGGAACAGATTCGGCGAATCTGACAGTTGAACCCACCCTTCATCCAGTCTTACAGTTTCACCACCAGTTGACTCGCCAGTTGGCTCGAGAGCTACTGATGAGTCGAAGCGCCTTGCATAACTCTGTGCTCCAGCGGTAGGGCCTGCAAGGAGCTTGCACATGGCAGCATGGCATGCTGTAACTGCTGCAACTAAAGCAACTAAAACGCCCAAGATTCGCCCGAGATATGTCAAAAAGAAAAACAAGCCGGGGCTCCAACATCTTCCGTGACAAGCTTGACTGAAGTTTTAGCGAATCTGCGGGATTTCTGCTCTCTTGAATGCTTCTAGCTAATTGTGAAACCGTGTTCTTTTAAATTGGACCCAACCATCTCCTGTAACAAAGATTTTGAACGGGAGCTGTCAAAAGTCAAGTTCTTGACTCTTTGACAATGATTCCAAAAGCTGCGGCTGTTTCGTTTGATGTTTTATTGCTTAACCATTCTACACAGATCACGAACCGTTTCTTGGCCTTGAAGCAGACAATCCTATTCCTGTGAATTTCACAGCGAATTCATAGCGACTCGTGATATCGAGATGGACTCAAGAAAGCAGCAAATGCGATGCGTCCCACTTTCCAATGGCAACTCATGGCTGTTCACTTCAAGTCCCGGTTTTCATGGCAAATTTGGCCTTTCACAGACAGTTCTTCACGGGCGTCTCAGAGCGTCGTTGAGAAAGACATCTGGTCGTTCACCTTGACCTCCGCTTGGCGTTGGAAGGGGAGACCCATGTCCGATTTGGGGGAATTTTAAAGGAAACCACCACTAGGCAGGTTGAGTTTTCAACATGGTTCAGTTGGCAGAAAACGCAACCCTTCAGGCCGACCCGCATTTTAGGATTTTCGTATATTTTCATGGTGTAACCTATTGCTTTTTGTGGATTTTCCATGGAAACCCATCCAGGAGGCCGACTGGTGATTTCTGGCAGTTCACTTGGCCTTGGCGTCGATTCCTGGTGAAGCCGCAAACAGCCATGGTCGAAGACGACCTCGAGATCCTGACGGTATGGAAAGATCTGCGGACAAGTTCTACTGACTCTTTCTTCATGTGGGAGAGGACATTTGAAAGACAACTCTATTCAATGCTCTTGTGGGACTCGTTTTAGCCTTGTATCTCGGTCATTCACAATGAAGGTTACTTCAAAATGAGGCGGAATAGTGTTGCTGATTCATGTCAAATGTTTGGTTTCAGGTGTTTTTCCAGCAAGCTGTCCGGGAGGCAATAGATTTCCCCACATTCTTCGGAGAGAAACCACATTAAAAGTGGCAGAAGCCGCCACGGCAATCAAGATTCAACCATTAGCTTCAATAGATCAATGGATTATCGAATCAGTGTGCTGGCCACCATCAACACGAAGTTCCACCTGGCGAAGGTCGATCAACGGATCATAATGCATCAAGCGGCTCCCGGCAAGTTCCACACACGGAAAAGGTCGTGCCTGGACGGCGAAGAGATGGCGGAGCCAAATGTCTGCCTCCGACCTGGGCCAAGGTTTCCATAGGTTTCCTAGATTGAGGTGCTTCGGTGGTTCGGCGGCCCATTCCATTCTAGATTGTGTAACACTCACCAGCAGTCCTGCTCTGACCCACCTTGAAGCTTCTGGCATAGCTCTCACATGTGCAAAGCCCTGCCAAGTCTTGCAAAGTTCTGTCAGCATGTACAGAGATCATACAGGAGTCAAGCTTCTGAAATCTAAGACAATCATATTCCATGTGGAATGCAAGCAAACCAGGCATGCATCGAAGACGTTCAAAAATGAACTGCCACACCAACCAACGGTGCAGCATTCAAAATCAACAAAAACCCTACATGATCTGGCACAGCGGCTCAAGTTCTGTTTCTGCGAGAGACTTTGCTCTGGACCAAACGCGGCTCAAGTTCTTCCGCCTGGCCAGTATCATCTTCCATTTCCTCTGAGAGAAGATATGAAGATCACAATTAAAACTGCTAGGGATGGACCAGGGATGATCGGAATGATCCAAAGCTTCCCAACTGGTTTTCGCTGCAGCCCACCACATCTCATCAAAGACGCTCCTCTGTTTTTTCTTCAAACACCATGGTTTCAGAATGCCAGGCCAATGGACTAACTTGGGACTGGCGCCGCTGGCGCGAATCTTCTCAATGTAGGAAGCGTCAGCATAGGCATTGTATTCGGGTCGGTGAAAGCACCAGGGAAAACCATCCTGGACAGCAATGGACAGCGATGGTGTACGGAGAGTCGGCACAGAAAGGATGGTGTCAACTGAATGGCTACAAGTCAAAAATTTACTTGTTCGCTTGGGCCTCCAGAACTCCTAAGGAACTTATTCACTGAAACACGCACAAATCCAAGTGTAGCCTTCATTGCGAACATCCGAAAATCTTCCTGACGCCTAACCAGTGCACACTCCCACTATCAAATCAGCGGCACGCCTCGGTTGCAAAGCCCAAATCCATGAACTGAGGCGCATCCACACAGGAACCCGCACCATCATAAACTCCTCCAAATGAGCCCCACCGCTTGAAGAACATCTCAATCCATCCTTGGTCCTGGGACAGAGATGATCTGTAGGTCCGCAAACTTCAACATGTCAAATCGTGACGAGACATTTGGTTGGGGTTCAAAACATAAAAATGCTACCCCGATGAAAATGATGGCAAATGGATGTTCATCCAACCATATGGTTATCATTGATATATGGAACAAAAAGTAAAACTAGACGACGGATGGCCCGAGAGCGTAGAGGAGCAGAGTCTTCTGTTGTTAGTATGGAGACACTATATTACAAGACAATATATTAAAGATGTCTTATAGGCAGACGAGAAGAGTAGTATCAAGACAATATATGGCTAGTACAAGACACTAGTTTGCATCGTATCTTTCGTAAAGCTTTTCACGCACAGAACTTTTTACAGACACACGCTTTTGCACACAGACGCTTTACACACAGAGGCTTTTACACGCAGAAGCTTTTACACGCAGACACTTTTACACACAGACGCTTTTACGCACAGAGGCTTTTACACACAGAGGCTTTTACACACACACGCTTTTGCACACAGACGCTTTTACACACAGACGCTTTTGCACACAGACGGTTTTACACACAAACACTTTTACACACAGACGCTTTTACACACAGACGCTTTTGCACACAGAGGCTTTACACACACACAAACACTTTTACACACAGAGACTTTTACACACAGACGCTTTTACACACAGACGCTTTTACACACAGAGGCTTTTACACACAGACGCTTTTCCACACAGAGACTTTTACACACAAACGCTTTTACGCACAGACGCTTTTACACACAGACCCTTTTACACACAAACACCTCTACACACAAACACTTTTACACACAGAGACTTTTACACAAAGACGCTTTTACACACAGAAGCTTTTACACACAGAGGCTTTTACACACAAACACTTTTACACACAGAGACTTTTACACACAAACACTTTTACACACCGAGACTTTTACACACAGACGCTTTTACACACAGACGCTTTTACACACAGAGGCTTTTACACACAGACGCTTTTCCACACAGATCAGACTTTTACACACAGACGCTTTTACACACAGACGCTTTTACACACAGACCCTTTTACACACAAACACTTTTACACACAGAGACTTTTACACACAGACGCTTTTACACACAGAAGCTTTTACACACAGAGGCTTTTACACACACAAACACTTTTAAACACAGACACTTTTACACACAGAAGCTTATACACACAGACGCTTTTATACGCAGACGCTTTTACACACAGAAGCTTATACACACAGAAGCTTTTACACACAGAGGCTTTTACACACAGAAGCTTTGACACACAGACACTTTCACACACAGACGCTTTCACACACAGACGCTTTTACATACAGACGCTTTTACACACAGACGCTTTTACACATAGACCCTTTTACACACAGACGCTTTTGCACACAGACACTTTTACACACAGAGACTTTTACACACAGAAGCTTATACACACAGACGCTTTTATACGCAGACGCTTTTACACACAGAAGCTTATACACACAGACGCTTTTACACGCAAACGCTTTTACACACGGACGCTTTTACACACAGACGCTTTTACACACAGACGCTTTTACACACAGACGCTTTTACACACAGACGCTTTTACACACAAACGCTTTTGCACACAGACGCTTTTACACACAGAAGCTTTTACACACAGAGGCTTTTACACACAGAAGCTTTTACACACAAACACGTTTACACACAAACACTTTTGCACACAGAGGCTTTTACACACAAACACTTTTACACACAGAGACTTTTACACACAGACCCTTTTACACACAGAAGCTTTTACACGCAGACGCTTTTACACACAGACCCTTTTACACACAGACGCTTTACACACAGACGCTTTTGCACACAGGCTTTACACACACACAAACACTTTTACACACAGACGCTTTTACACACAAACACTTTTACACACAAACGCTTTTACACACAGACGCTTTTACATACAGACGCTTTTACACACAGACGCTTTTACACACAGACGCTTTTACACACAGACGCTTTTACACACAGACACTTTTTACACACAGACGCTTTTACACACAGACGCTTTTACACACAGACGCTTTTACACACAGACGCTTTTACACACAGACACGCTTTTACACACAGAAGCTTTTACACACAGACGCTTTTACACACAGACGCTTTTACACACAGACGTTTAACACACAGGCGTTTTGACACACAAAACACTTTTACACACAGACGCTTTTACACACAGACGCTTTACACCCAAGAGACTTTTACACACAGACGCTTTTACACACAGACGCTTTTAACATCGAAGGCTTTTTCTACACACAAACGCTTTCCACCACAGAGACTTTGAACACACAGACTTTTACACACAGAAGCTTATACACACAGACGCTTTTATACGCAGACGCTTTTACACACAGACGCTTATACACACAGACGCTTTTACACACAGACGCTTTTGCACACAGACACTTTTACACACAGAGGCTTTTACACACAGACGCCTTTACACACAGACCCTTTTACACACAGATGCTTTTGCACACAGAGACTTTTACACACAGAAGCTTTTACACAGAGGCTTTTACACACAGACGCTTTTACACACAGAGCTTTTACACACAGACTCTTTTACACACAGACGCTTTTGCACACAGACCTTTTACACACAAGACGCTTTTACACACAGAACTTTTACACACAGACACTTTTACACACAGAAGCTTTTACACACAGGCTTTTACACGCAGACGCTTTTACACACAGACGGTTTTACACACAGACTTTTACACACAGACTCTTTTACACACAGACGCTTTTGCACACAGACACTTTTACACACAGACGCTTTTACACACAAACGTTTTTACACACAAACACTTTTACACACAGAAGCTTTTACACACAGACGCTTTTACACGCAGACGCTTTTACACACACACGGTTTTACACACAAATACTTTTACACACAGAAGCTTTTACACACAGAGGCTTTTACACACTGCAGGTTAAATGATTTGGAAGAAGAAAAGGATGACATTGATGACGCCTCGCAATTCCTGAATTTGAGCGGCCTGAGAAGCAATTTGACAATTGGTTGATACTGACCTTGTTTGACCTGAAACAGCCTCGAGGGAAAAACCGGTGATCACAACAAACCTAGAAGGTACGTGGAAACGGCGTCCCGTTTCATATCACAGGAAAGAGTGAAGGTCTTCGTTGGTGCCAGCTTCACTCAATCCCCTGGCACCCCCTGCTTGATATTATAAATTGTTCATCATAACTGCATGTAACTAGCAGTTTACACACACACATGGCCCCTCAGACAGAGGGGTAAAATCGCGCGGTTTTACGCACAAACACTTTTACACACAGACGCTTTTACACACAGACGCTTTTACACACAGACGCTTTTACACGCAGACGCTTTTACACACAGACGCTTTTACACACAGACGGTTTTACACACAGAGGCTTTTACACACACACAAACACTTTTACACACAGGACAGACACTTTTACACACAGACGCTTTTACACACAGACGCTTTTACACACAGACGCTTTTACACACAGACACTTTTACACACAGAAGCTTTTACACACAGAAGCTTTTACACACAGACACTTTCACACACAGACGCTTTCACACACAGACGCTTTTACATACAGACGCTTTTACACACAGACGCTTTTACACACAGACCCTTTTACACACAGACGCTTTTACACGCAAACGCTTTTACACACGGACGCTTTTACACACAGACGCCTTTACACACAGACCCTTTTACACACAGACGCTTTTGCACACAGAGACTTTTACACACAGAGGCTTTTACACAGAGGCTTTTACACACAGACGCTTTTACACACAGAGGCTTTTACGCACAGACTCTTTTACACACAGACGCCTTTACACACAGACACTTTTACACACAAACGCTTGGCCCACTTCGCCGGACAACTTGATAGACGCAATTTTACCGCAGTTTTTGGCGACCGAACCTCATTTTGTGCGAAAGCGTTGCGCCGGACACTTCAAAATTGCAATTTTACCGCAGTTTTTGGCGATCGAACCTCATTTCGTGCGAAAGGGTTGCGATTGGACACGTCAGAATCGCAATTTTATAACCTCAGTTTTTGACGATCGAACCTCATTTCGTGCGAAAGCGTTGCGCCGGACACCTTGAAATCGCAATTTTACCTCAGTTTTTGGCGATCGAACCTCATTTCGTGCGAAAGGGTTGCGCCGGACGACTTGCAAATCGCAATTTTACTTCAGTTTTTGGCGATCGAACCTCGGGGCGACTTGCAAATCGCAATTTTACCTCCCCAAAAGATCAGGCTAGGCAATTTCCTGCCTAATAGTTAATTCCTTATTTCCTACCTAATTAGGTAACTTTTAAGGTAAAAATGAAAAAATGTAACCTAATTTTAAGGTAATTCGGCACGCGGGGTTGAAAGTTTGCGTGCAAACTTGCGAGGCGGGGCTGAAAGTTTGCATGCAAACTTGCGACACAAGGTTGAAAGTTTGGATGCAAACTTGCGAGGGGAGGTTGAAAGTTTGCGCGCAAACTTGCGAGGCGGGGTTGAAAGTTTGGATGCAAACTTGCGAGGCGGGGTTGAAAGTTTGCAAGCAAATTTGCGCCCTTGGACACGCACGCAAGCATTTGCAGGCAAATGGTGGTGCAAGTTTACATTCAAACTTGCGAGGGGGTTTGAAAGTTTGCCTGCAAACTTGTGAGGGGAGGTTGAAAGTTTGCATGCAAACTTGCGAGGCGGGGTTGAAAGTTTGCGTGCAAACTTTCGTTGAAAGTTAGGTAAAAAAATAGTTAAGGCAAGAAAAATTAACTAATTTCGGTAAGGAAAAAACAAACTAATAGGTATTTTTTTTGTCTAAGATAAGGAATTACCTTTTCGGCAGGAAATTGCCTAACCTGATCTATTGGGTCAGTATTTTGGCGATCGAACCTCATTTCGCACGAAAGGGTATAGGCAAGAGGGCAAGAGAGCAAGAGGGCAAGAGGGCAAGAGGAGAAGATGTGAGGATGAGAAGATGTGAAGATGTGAAGATGTGAAGATGAGAAGATGTGAAGATGAGAAGATGTAAAGATGAGAAGACGTGAAGATGAGAAGATGAGAAGATGAGAAGATGTGAAGATGTGAGGATGAGAATATGTGAAGGAGTGAAGATGAGAAGATGATAAGATGTGAAGATGTAAGGATGAGAAGATGTGAAGATGTGAAGGTGTGAAGATGAGAAGATGTGAAGATGTGAGGATGAGAAGATGTGAATATGTGAAGATGTGAAGATGAGAAGATGTGAAAATTTGAGGATGCGAAGATGAGAAGATGTGAATATGTGAAGATGTGAAGATGATAAGATGTGAAGATGTGAAAACGTGAGGATGTGAAGATGAGAAGATATGAAGATGAGAAGATGAGAAGATGAGAAGACGAGAAGATGTGAAGATGTGAGGATGAGAAGATGTGAAGATGAGAAGATGTGAAGATGTGAAGATATGAGGATGAGAAGATGTGAATATGTGAAGATGAGAAGATGTGAATATGAGAAGATGAGAAGATGCGAAGATGTGAGGATGAGAAGATGTGAATATGTGAAGATGTGAAGATGTGAGGATGTGAAGATGAGAATATGTGAAGATGTGAAGATGAGAAGATGTGAAGATGTGAGGATGAGAAGATGTGAATATGTGAAGATGTGAGGATGAGAAGATGTGAAGATGTGAAGATGTGAAGATGAGAAGATGTGAAGATGAGAAGATGTAAAGATGAGAAGACGTGAAGATGAGAAGATGAGAAGATGAGAAGATGTGAAGATGTGAGGATGAGAATATGTGAAGGAGTGAAGATGAGAAGATGATAAGATGTGAAGATGTAAGGATGAGAAGATGTGAAGATGTGAAGATATGAAGTTGAGAAGATTGAGAAGATGAGAAGATGTGAAGATGTGAGGATGAGAAGATGTGAATATGTGAAGATGTGAAGATGGGAATATGAGAAGATGAGAAGATGAGAAGATGTGAAGATGTGAAGATATGAGGATGAGAAGATGTGAATATGTGAAGATGAGAAGATGTGAATATGAGAAGATGAGAAGATGCGAAGATGTGAGGATGAGAAGATGTGAATATGTGAAGATGTGAAGATGAGAAGATGAGAAGATGTTTTACAGACCCCCACTATTGGAAGAACCCTGCGCTCAGACGCTCTCGGGAGCAACCGCAAGTGGTGCACCCTATTGAAACATGCCCTGGGGTATTGAAGCTGTACGCAAAGGTTTTGCTGTGTTGGCGCCGTGCAAGGCAGCAATACAGCAAAGCATCCCCAATGCCCAATACTAAAAGTGCCAATTGGGAAAGTGTAAAAAAACAGGCTTGGGTTTACCACATTCAAATACATCAAAAACCTTTTGACTACCCGGGCCCCGAACCTGGCTGTCAGGCTTGTTGGTGCGATGGTCGAAGGAATGAAGTTCACGCAACATTGTTTCCTGCCACTTGAAACAAAAAAAATAAGAGAACGGGTCTGCTGGGTTGCCTTTGGTTTCCACGGATCACAAGACTAAAACGAAGAGACCGATTGTGACGACTCATGGCTCATGTTGTAGGTTGAGTCCCTGTACCACGTGATAACATCATCAGGGTAATTATCGAAATCCCACGTCATTCAATTCCACATAAGAAAATGTTGTCAGCAACATGAAACAAATTGAAGGACATACTCACTCTCCAAGGTTCAAAGACTCTGGCGGATGGCTGGATGGACATGACGCCAATATTCACCGACCTGAAAGAGTTTGGAGCTCCCATTGGACTCGTAATCAACGAGAGCGGAGGAACATGAGAAGCTGGAAAGAAGGCACCCTCCAAGGGTCCTATCGCCAGCATGTCGGCATCCAAAACCACAATCCGGTCCCAGGTCGTCAGATTCCAAACCGCCAGCTTCAACCAGCCAATGGACAGCTCTGGTCTTTTAGGATTTGGATATGGCACCTCCATGGATAAAGGAACGTCTACAAAGCCCATTTTCGACAATTCCATTGTTGCCCACCGATCTGGTTCACTGAAGCTTTGGTTGTGCAACACAAAAAACGGCCGATGTGGACGACAGCGTTCGAACTTCTGCACGCTGTTCCTGAGCACAAGAGTTGCTAACAAGTAGCTCTTTGCTGTGTCCCAGTCTGCCGTAACTCCTGTTGAGAAAAGTGTAGCCCAAGCCTCTCGTACACAAGGGTTCCCGTTGATGGCTGTTGTATCTGAAACTGAAATGCTTGAACTTGAGGAACTCAGGCTCCAAGTTGTGTTTGGAAGTTGTGTGCTGGATGTTGAAGTTGTTGTGGAAACCCTTCTGCTAGAAAAATCAGAAACAACTGAAGTGCTCGTGTTCTTTTCTGGAAACCCAGTGCTCCTGTTCGATGAGGAAAGGAACAGGAAAAGAGAGGGCTGAACTGTGGGGATGTAAAGGTAAAGGTTGTACACCACGCCAGGGACAGCCAACAAGGAGATCACAACAGCTCTGCGTCGCCATTGCCACACCATGCCACATTGGATTCAAGCACTAGACCGTGCTAAGCTCATTCCCAAGGGACCATGATATACAGCGGTCATGTTTGCAGCGTTTCGTTTTTACCATAATCACCATACAACTTATGCGCTGGATGGAGATGACCCGATTCAGATGATTCACAATTCTCTGGGCGTGGGCTGAACGCTTAAGGAATTAAACCTGAATGCTTTCAGCACTAAGCTGTTGTGTGTGTGGGGTCACGGCCTGTATCCGAGGGTTTTTTGATTTTCTATGAAATTGTGACAATCTGATTGCTTTTCAAAACAGCAGGGGGCAGAGGTGCCAATGTCTCGTCCTCTGCCAACGAAGCTGAGTGACATGTGGCAAAAATATAGATCAAGGACGCTTGATCTACGTACCTGCTGTTTTCCGAATTTTGTTATGGCAAGGGGGCTAAGCCAAGAACCCCAACAATATTTTTTAAATCAGTGACGTAGTCACGCGGTGCAAGGCCTGTCTGGGAATTTCATGCAAATCCACATGTTAAAGAATTGGCAAGAAAGACAAACAAATTCGGTGGACCCGTCAGGACTCCATACAACATACGGTCGTCCGAGTGTGTTTCGGCCGAGATTCCCTCATGGTCTGGTCATGATCCAGTGACTCGCTGGCCTCGGAAATTGTTCCCCTGATGTGACGGGTTCCCATCATGCACTTCTTTGTGGTTCAAATGAGAGTCCAAGCAAAAGACAAAGAAAAAGAAAAAGAACACAAATCAGGATACTGGCAAAAGATATATGTTTGTTTCATCTCCGGTTATTTCGAATGTACAGTTTCGCTGATGTCGTGTACAGTTCAATAATGCAGCGCGTTTGGCTCAATCATGTCCTGTGCATTCTCCGTTTTTATACCCTTGTTAATGTACAGTGTTTGCAAGCAATCTATCCATTTTGTTGCCTTGGATCATGCTGCGACTTTGTTTCATGGTATTCAATGTATTCATTTCCTCTTTGCCATTTTGCCCGTCTTGAGCCATGACGTACAACATTTACTTCATTGCTGGAGATCAAGCACGGTCAACCAAAACCAGCATTGGCATATCAGCATATGAGAGGATCTCGCAAGGTTCGACAGAACCACCGCAACTGGTAATTCAGCCCTCCACCTCTGATCCAGCTCGACCGCCTAGGCCAATTCAGAATGAAATTTCGAATTTGCAGGCACCACATGCTTTGCGATTTCCGATAGCACTGGTTAATTTTTGCTCGGGATCAATTAGCAGCGACAACAAAAGCTGCACCTTTGACTGCTCGGAGCTTAAAACTCAACAAGATCACAGTCACCTCGTAGTTCTCGTGGATTCAGACATCGTGATCGTAGACGTGGACGTAGAGACTCCAGGTCTAGAGGCACATCCAGATCCAGACGTAAGAGATCTCGATCAAGGAGCCCAAGGAACCGTAGTTGTGTTGGTTCGATACCAGAGCTTGAGGTACCCCTGGAGTGCGGCATGATGTTTTGTTCCTCGGCCATCAGTGACAGCCAGATTCAATGCTTTTCCAAACAACGCATATTTGTGTGCGTTTATCCAGTCAACACTATTCGGACAAACCAAGTTCTGCAGAATATTGTTGGCAAGAGCAGATATATTCGAGGTACAGATTTAAGTATAGTCTTCGGCAAGTAGAATACGATCCGGCATATTGGCTAACAAACATTTCAATACTATATTTTGCCGATTCCCACCTTAAAGCATCGAGCTAGGCACGGTAATGATATACGACAAGATGTCCGCCGAGCAGCTCCGGATCATAACATTACCGAAATTGCTCACATAGCTTTTGCACATGCTACAGCTCGATCAATTTTGTAAACAATTTAAGCTCAAGCATACAAGTTGTCATGCGCAGGCTGTGACAACGATGAAACAGCCTGCATCTTACAAAGAACGAAACTCGTGCTTTGCTATTCGGAATGGCATGGGGCACAGCAGAGACGGTCCACCATGCCGATGTAAAGAGCTCAACAAGCGACCTCAGGGAGGTTGTGGCCATCATAAGAATGGACGTATGTGGGTAAGTTCTACTGATACCCATTTCCTTCGAGCTGTTGTATGGAGGTCGGTTGCCCAACCACCTATATAGGTCTGGTTATGATTTCGGTTTGTGTTCAGTTTCTCCATCTTTTTTCAAACGCTAATCTTTTTTCGCCCATGCCTCAGCCCAACGGTGACCGTCATGAATTCGGCTTTTGCAACTGTGAAACAGTTGTCTGAATCCCAGTACCTTTTGATCCAGTCTTCCAACAAAACGATCGATCAGCAGTTCACTGGTCGTAAACGAGTTCATATGGATTTCGATGTAATCGACCTTTTCAACCTCGACGACTCCTCTGTACTTGTTGAAGAATTCACGAATTTGCGTGATGTTTAGTTTTTGTTTTCTTGACATGTCATATGGAGGACTTGTGGGGTTTCAATCATGCGGTGGTTATGCATACTCTACAAGTCATTGCTGGATTTTTTCTCTATCCTCAGAACATCTCTGCTCTGACCACACGACCGCTTTCAGATCTTTCACGTCAGAACTTTCAGCCATGTCTCGATCATGGTCTAGCAGCCACTGGTCTACCTGGAATGACAACTCCTAAATCAATGGCGATCTTCCTCCTACGACGCACCTCCTTCGTTCACTACTGTTCTTCCAGCCCACTGAAAAACTACCAAGCACCTAGCTCAGGAATTCTTGCGTTTGCACCGCGCTCAAGATCCATGCGCTGCAATTCCGTCCACATTGGACGCACCAATCGAACTCATGCAACCGGTAGTTAAATCAGCTGAAACGCATCCAAACACTACAAATTTTAAACTTGTCTGAAGGCTTTGAGGATAACTTTTGAAACATGCTTCGGCTTTTCGGCTTTTCTATTGTTTTATATATTCTTGTTTCGTGAAGCGCTTACACAAGGCAAGGTTCACTGTTATTTTTGCAGATCTTTACTTTTGGAACATAATATAGTTTGAAGTTCTCAAGAACAGAAGCGTTGAGACCCTTAATATTCTTTGGGATATCTTTTTTCCAGTGGCACTGCCACTTTGCCTGACAACTCTGTTCATGATTCCTGTTGGGCGGGCAGCTTGTTTGATGTCCATCTCTGGCGAGCAGCCCCTCCCTGCTGCTCGCGGTGGTGCCATGTTGGCACCTCCACGCGGCCTTCCCAGTAAACCTGGTGAGGCTGTAGGCCCTTCCGCCCACCAAAATGCAACAAGACTGCTGTGGCAAATCCTCGCAAACCCTTATTTTCACCCGTGGTCCGGGCGGTATTCAGCCATTTAACGATCGCTACATGCCTCGGCCCCCTCAGAATCAGAAGAAGCACTGTATGTTTCGCTAAAATGCCTCAGAAGTATGATCTGATTCTCTAAGCCAGCCTGCACCACAGCCGTTCCAGGGGAGCAACAATGCGCCACTCTGGGTAAGAATTCAATATCTTGAGGGCGCTTTTCATTTCAATCACAAGATGGGCATATTTCGACCAGGAACCTGACTTCCAGAGTCCGGCTTCTAGCAAGAGTGTCTCATAGGATTTGGGCTGGCAGATCTCTTGGCAAGGTTGGAAGGTGCATGGCGGCGCTTGTGAGATGCCGTACTCTGCCGCCATTCGGCAGGCTGCCAGAAAGCCGATGAGGCTAATCGCTGCATCCTTGACTCTGTTGCAGGGGGTGAAAGGCATACTCTGCACGAGCACTTCCTTCACTGCTTCCAGCTCATGCGCGCAGTAGTCAGCAGCATTGCCACGAGCTTCGCCAACCAAAGCGAGGAAAAGATCTACCTTCCTCTTGCTTTTCAAGAAGAAAGACATCCTTGGATTTGAGTGAATGTTGGAATGGCAATGGGCAAATGGTTGAAATAAAACGGCCAACCTCTGCAAACACTGCCACCTAAGGTCTTTACAGCCATCATATGCATTCAATGCCTGATTTGAAATACAAATGTGAATTCCGGACAAGTTATCTCGGTCTGAGCAGCTGCTGCAGCTCCTGCCACTTTCCTGCCAAGTGTGAGGAGAATCACCTGTTGCCAATCCTGCCACTTTGTCAGCGATGAATCGCTGCATTTTTTTAACCCCCCCGCCAGCCAATCTTGAACCGCTTCTAAGAAAGCGAGTGCGCAAGTCTATTTTGATTAGGCTGACGGGAAAAATCGTCGCCTAAGAGGAAAAGCTAGATGGCAACCCTGACCTGCACCTGATGGCTCTCCTCAAGGCAATCTCCAAGTCAACAGAGGCCAAGGTTTTTGAAATTTTCTCCAAGTACGCTAGCTTCGCCTTGAGCTTGTGGACAGGCAATCTTTTCAGCAGCATTCGCCGGGTATCCATGGGAGTTGGCCGCGGCCGGATTTTCTTGACTATCTTGGTCTTTGGCTGAGGCACTTGGAATCCCATGTTTCGTTGTGACCAGCAGGCAGCTATTGCTGTGTCTGTATAGGGCCGCTTGAACCCTCAAATGCCCACAGGCGGACGTTCAACTTTTAACTCTTCAAGCGACAAGTGAAATGAACTTCAACATGAAAAAGTTACAGGATCGAACAATTCTAAACAAATCATTAATGAGATTGCTTATTCATCGCAACATCATCACCAACAAAAGGCACCAAGAGCCTGTAGGTAAAGTCAGTCCAGTTCTTTATGGCTCCAAGTCTTCCGCGCAGATTCTATTTGGCCTATACGCTGCAGATGTACTATAGCTTGGTCACCCAAATTCTTCACAACATAAGCCCTGTGGATGGCTGCGGCTACATGATTCAATATTATTGCCTGTCAAACAACTGGGATATCAATGTAAAACTTTCGGTTGGCACACATCCCAACCCCCATTTCCGTCTTATTCCCTGTAGTGGCAACCTGGCAAGGTTTATTTCCAAGCCGTGTCTTTTCTACCATTTTACGATTTGGCGTGGTAATAGTCTGCCAAATCTCTTCGTCAGTGAAGCTCCAGCCGTTTGCGTAAGTCCGCCACTGGTTCCAGGTTGAACAAGAATCGAGTCAGTCGAGCCCGCGTTGTCCACGCAGGCATGGGTCAGGCGGTGGGGTCGAATCAAGACAATGCCGGCTGCAGATGGCATGGCCCCTTCAGATTCACATGCAACCTGGCTTTTTTAACCGCCTTCCACCTCGTCCTTGGGTCGACTGTTGCTGCATTTCGGCGATAGTTAGAACATCAAAGCCTTCGACCTGAACTGATTGATGATATTACTCACTTTACAGCAGCAATGGAAACAACACCTTGATCAGTTGCAATCTACACCTCGGTTATCTATTTTCATTTCATATTTAGTTCAACACCTACTAGGCGTTCTACCTCGAAACTCGGTCATTCATCATGGAGATACCATTTCGCATTACCATCTTTTGTCCCAAATTGTATTTTAAAGGTGCTTTGAACACCTGGGCTGACACTGACCTGTTTGAGCGCCTCCATTGCACTGCAGACCAGGCTCAGTTGGTCAATTCTTCGGCCAATTCATTTCATTTGCTGAAACTATACCCTTGGGGTTTCCAGAAACAGGCGGCCTTACCATATGGCTTTGATTTTTAAAAGAGGAAGAAACAGTGGACCAAAGGTCGCACGCTGATCAGCTATTTTCAAGGCTATCATGGCCACACTGCTCAAAGCAGTTAGCCGCGCCTTAGACTCTAATGTTACAACAAATGCGGCCATAGATCATGGGCCAGCTGAACACCCCAGCTAATTGGGCTCGCCTTCATCGATCTTTTGATGCCGTTCCCACTGAAACAAATTTGATGTTTGTGAATGATGACCTTGTGGGATTTTCAACTCTGTCCCTCAAGAAAAAGCATTCATTTTTCGATTCTGACCCTGCCACCATAATGGTAGACGTCAGTGCTACGGGAAATCCGATTCAGTCAACTTTTTCGGGATCGCACCGACAATCAACCCACAACCTCAAGAAGATCTATGTCAAGGACATTTTTTCAACCGTTCGAGCCTCTCGTCTATGATTTTCTCCGCTTTAGGCTGTTTCTGAAAGCAAATTCGCGGAGCTGGCGTTGGCAGCCAGATTTCTCCTTCCCTGTCAAACCTTGCTGTGACTATTGGATAACGCGCTTGGCAAGAGATGTACTCCGAGAGTCTCAATCAACCCGGGCATGCCGTTTTTGGTATCAGATATGTGGACAGCAGGTTCATCATTGCTTCCGAAGATGCCAAGCATCATCCTGGTTGTCGCACACAGTGAAATTTAGACTTTTAGGGTCAGGCCGTTGGTTGAGATGATAATTTGGCTTTTCTGTAAACGTGGCCGAAAGCACTGTTCAATACAGACCACCTGATTCGGGCCAAATTCGATATATGCGTATCTGCGGGATCTGTCAATGAGTGGACAAAAAGCTGGGCCCACTTAATTCGAAACTACACGTGCCCACCGGATCTCATCTCAATCAGTCTTTTTGCATTGGCAAACCCATTATATGTACAGAAATCGTTCAATCGATCAGATGTTTTCTCCGCTCTCCGGCTTTAAACCGAATGTACAGCAGCACGTTAAGATGCTACTTTGGCGACAAAACGGCCTCCGTGTGTGGGGTCACACCCTGTATCCAATTCTATTTTCTGTGAAACTGTGACAATCTGATTGCTTTTCAAAACAGCAGGGGGCAGAGGTGCCCATTGAGTGACATGTGGCAAGGATATAGATCAAGGACGCTTGATCTACGTACCTCTTTTTTTCCGAATTTCGTCATGGCATGGGGCTGCCGCTAAGCCAAGAACCCCAGCCATGTGTTTTTAAATCAGTGACTTGGTCACGCGGCGCAAAGCCTTTCTGGGAATGTCATTTCCAAATGTCATATAAAAATTGACAAGAAAAGCAAACAAACTCGGTGGACCAGTCAGGACTCCATACGACATACTGTCTTTCAAGTGTCTATGTGAGTGTATGCAATATAGATAATGGCAGCTATTAGAAACAAGCTTTGGCTGCCATCAATGTTTATTTTCTAAAAACTCCATTCCGCTGTCAAGTCAAAGCCAGCATGAGAAAACAAACGTATCTTTGGAGCAGCTTGGACCAATGATTGCGGGCGCGCTGCAGCAAAAACGTGTCCAGTACGGCAAATGTATGCTGATTATGGATGCTATGGGGTGATCCGAAAAAGAGGCCAAAAGCGCGCACACGTCCAGCCTCAGGCAGCCGAGCAAGGTCACATTTGGCTTCAGGGTCGGGTCAAGATGAGAAGTTGTCAAAATCGTGCAACCAATGGTTTCAGATATCATGGAATCAGGATGAATCCTGTGTGTGAACCTGGTTGTTTGGACCAAGGGAAGACGCACTGTCTGCATTTCCACCATGAAAGACGAAACTAAATTCTGGGCTGCCTGGCCATGCAAGCATCCTTCTGTCTTGGAACCAAAGGTCACAAATGGTCAGGGTCTCGCGCTGTCCAAAAGTTTTTAAATTTGCACAGGACATAAAGATGGGTATAGCTTGAGGTATAGCCTATGCATGTACATCTATGTGCAATTTGTTCATTTCGAGTTGAGGATTTCGTTGATCATTTTGGCCCCATAGCCCTGGTTCAGAATGAAGATAATGTCGAACCAGCAAATGCCGCTGTTCAGGTATCCGTGCGGATCGCCGCAGATTTCCATACGATCATCCCAGCAGGCCCCTGAAAGCGGCACCAGTCGTTTGGTTCCAAGCCAAAAACCAAAGTAATTTAAATTCAGCATAAATTGCCACACAGACTTCACATTGGGCTCTGCAATGTGCTTGCCGTGGAAAACAGGCTTTCCTCCTCGGTAGCTAGCTCCCCAGAAATCTGGATTCATCTTGTCGCTCACTTCCATGACCACCACCATGATCTCTTTGGCTCGTAGCATGCTCAATGCACCCTGCACCACTGTGAAATCATGTCCCTCTGTGTCAATCTTCAGCAGATCAATCTTTGCCAGGTTATGCAAGCGAGCATAGGTGGCCACATCCCAGGCCATCACTTCTTTTTTTTTCCATAGACCCGATCCTTCGCCCGATGTTTCTTACCGGACTTAGCTAGGTGTTCCGTCAGAGAGGCGACATTGGCCTTCCCTGCCAGTTGGAGACGTGAGGTCACGTTTGAGAATGCTGCATTTTCCAAAGCGACGCAAAAGCGATCCGGAAACAACTCCTTGTTCAAGCATTGCGTGGTTTTCATGAACACATCTGGTTGTGGTTCAAAGGCAAAAAATCGATTCTTGGCGCAGCCGAAGTGCTTGGCGAACTTGATGGCCAGTGTTGTATCAGAGTCCGAGCCACTTGCATAGCAGCCTGCACCGATGTCAAACATCACTAGGCCATCAGTAGGCCACAGGGAGATGTAGGTCTCCAGAAAAACATCCAGGCCATCCCTCTGCCGAACCGCCAGATTGTAGAACTCTTTAGTCAAATGATCCAAGAAATACTGTGGTAAACAAGACTGGAAGTATCGCTTCTCGGAATCAACAGGGTTGACCGATTGTACGGTGACAGTATCAGAAGCGTTTTCAATTTGACTCACTCGGCTCACTGGGCTTTGATTTATCGTCCTTCCTGTCCTTCCTGGGTTCTGAGAGTTGTTGACAGAATAAAAAGGGGCTTCGGAACACGATGACGACGATGTTCAAAGCCAAAAGAACACTGCACAGCGTTTGCAGCCGGCTGGCCATTGGAAACTCAACCTACCACTGCATGGCACTGCATGGCGTTGCAATATGAGAGAAGTGGATATACTGTACCAATATACCGGGCCGTTTTGAATCTGTCCAAGCAATGAGGTGGGCTATGGTCCAATACCAGGCTGTGTTAGAGGCCAGGCTTCTATCCTGATGTAAAGTCATGAAGGTTGTGCTTTAACTATAGCGGAAACCAAACCTTTCATGGGAATGTCGATCTCAGAGAACTGGCGGGATTCGCTCTTGAGCAGTGATATAGCTGAGATTTGCCAAGGCTTTGTTAGGCCTACAGGCAGTGGGTTTCCAACGCTGCGATGTTGCCAGGCAATCATCGCACCTTTAAATCATGGTCAACCCTCCTTTCCCTTGCAGGCAACGGGTCTCTTGTCGCCTTGAACTTCGTGTCCCGGAATGTCCCGGATCCTCACCTGACCACCAAGTCACCACCACCCTGAGCATCGAATATTGATCCTAATCAATTTATTCACTACTTTTTTCAATTGATTTTTTGTAGATTGATTTGGATTGATTTTTTCAAAAAGTCTCAGATTGAAAAAAATGATTTACAGATTGATTTGTAGATTGATTTGCAGATTGATTTTTGCCCTCAAAAACCTACTAAATTTCAATTGTTTTTTATGTCTAAATTGATTTTTTTGGGGTTGTTCAGATTCCCAGCCACTGCAGCCATTTCAGTGCAAGACTTTCAAAAACATACCTGCAAATCCAGAAATCCTTGAGAAAGGGCCTTTCACAAATCCTTGTGAAAGGGGAACCTTGTGAAAGGGGAACCTTGCAAAAGGGATGCCAACCAGAGGTGGCTCAAGACACAGGTCTAAGCCATACATCGAAAGTGGGCTTCTGACCAAAGTGCTGCTGAGGCATGAAGACATACTAGTGAATTTCAAAGGGTATGAGAGCTGCAGCAGGAACAGTGGAGCTGACCCAAAAGGCTTGGTTCACTGTTTGGATCTGGTAAATGATGTGCTGGAGCTGGAAGCATCTGCAGAAATCCACCCAGCACCCTTGAGGCAAAGCATGCTTCACCTTCTAACCCAGAAGCCCAGCCTCAACAACACTTGCCAAAGTGGTAGCTTGTGGGTTCACATGAGATCAGAAAGGCTGAATGTGTTACTCTTTCACATTCGAAGACTAGCCAGATCTGGGCCAACACAAGCCTGTGTGAATGCCCTTTCTGGCCAGGAGCTAGGGAGGCTCCAAAACACTTTGAAAAAGGTGGTAATCCAGGAGGCACATGTACCATTGCAAAATGGGGAGGAAAATCAGAAGCAAAAGGAGGAAGATGAGAAGCAAAAGGAGGAAGATGAGCAGGAAGAAGAGGAAGAAGAGGAAGAAGAGGAGGAAGAGGAGGAAGAGGAGGAAGAGGAGGAAGAGGAGGAAAAAAGGCCAAAGGTCAAAAAGCTGAAAGTTAACCCCAGTGATGTCAGCTGTGATTCACAGGGGTTTCCAAATATGCTCAAAAGCCCACAGCAAAAGCAGGAAGTTATGCCCAGCAGACTCTTGAAAAAGAGGGTGGGGCAAGCCAAAAAGATCCAAGAGATTGAACCAGATAAAGATTTGAGAGGGAGAATGGGCTTTGAAAAGCAGAAGCCTTACAAAAAGCCAGCTGCAAAAGCCAAGTCCAGCTGCCAAAGGCCACTTGCACTCAAAAAGCCAGCAGGCAGTAAAAAAACTCTTGGGAAAGAGGACAGCAAGGGAACCTTTGCAAAAGGGTGCAGCAAGAAGCAAGAACAAAAAGCCTTGCAGGGTGATGGGCCATGGCTGGTTTTGCAAAAGACAGTTGCCAAGAAGCCAGAAAGAGCTTATGTGCTGGGCACCAAGGTGGAAGGCCTGAAGCCTAGACTTATAGTAGAAGCCACCAAAACAAGGTCACAGAAATACAGCTGGGTTTTGGACAGGATCATTGACTCCTTGAGAAAGGGGAATCTTAGCAAGCCAGAAGCAATAGCACTCAGAGAGAAAATGTGCAAACAATACCCTTGAGAGAGGGGGACATGCAAAAAGCAGCACAACCTTTGCAAAAAGGTGCCTTTGAACAAGGGATTGCCTTTGCATTGGCACCCTTGCAAAAGAGGAACCTTTGAAAAAGGGTTTGCCTTTGCAGTATACCTTTGCAAAAAGGAACCTTTGGAAAAGGGATTGCAGCAAGGAAACCTTTGAGACAGGGTTATGTACAGCCTTGGGACTTTTTAAACTGCACTTGCAGGATATGCCATCAGGCAAACACTTGCTGCAGCACAGGGGTTGGGCTTGGGGTTGGGCTTGGGGTTGCCTAAATGGTTTTTGGGCTTGGGGCTGCCCAAACTAAAGAATTGAAAAAAAAACATATAAATATATAATTGAATGTAAAAAAAGTGTATATATATATATATCACTTTGTTCAGGAACAAAAATATACAACAATACTTTGAATAAGAGTAGATATATTTAGAATTATTTGAACATTTTATATATAATTTGGAAAGCACACATGTACACATATGCCCAATTTTTTCAATATGAACAAACAAAACAAAAATTAGGTAAATAAACAAATATTTTAATATGTATATTTATTTATATTTCATTTTCTAGTGAAACAAACCAACAAAACATATTCCCTTATCAATTAGCTGTTTGGTGGTTGGTTCCTCCAAGTGTGGTAGGCTTGGGACCCTTGAAAAAGGGCTGCAATACAATTTCAAACCAAAACTGTAAATTATATGTCCTTATCAATGAGCTGTTTGGTTGTTGGTTCCCCCAAGTGTGGTAGGTGGGGAACCCTTGCAAAAGGGTTGCAACACAATTTCAAACCAAACCTTCCAACCCAATCAGGAAATAAATGGAAAACACCAAGCCAATGAAATCTGATGAAATCTGATGAAACCTGATGAAACCTGATGAAATCTGATGAAATCTGATGAAAACATGGTTTTCATCAGATTTCATCAGATTTCATCAGAACTGATTTTTTTCTTAATTTCCACATGTCCATGGAACAAAACCAAATTGAAATCCAAATCAAGCTAAAAAACAAACACCCAGAACCAAATTGCATTGCAGCCTTTTGGCTTTCAAGGTTTGTTTGTGCAGCCATTTTGCTTTTTCAGCTATGGGGAAATCAATGAAGGTTATGAAAAAGGTGATGAAATCAACCCCTGCAAAGGGGAAGCCAACCTCTGGGAACAGGAATCAAACCCTTGCCAAAGGGAAAAAAACATCTGCAAAGGGGAAGCCAACCTCTGCAAAGGGGAAGCCAACCTCTGCAAAGGGGAAACCTTTGAAAAATGGTGCAGCCCAGGCAGGAATCTTGAAAAAAACAACTTGCAAAAGTTGGGGCAGCCGTCCCTTCAAGACAAAATCAAAAAAAACGCGGAAAACAATGATGATGAAAATGAAGCAGCAAAGGAGCTGCAGCTCAGCATGACCCCAGCTGAGAAAAGCAAGACTTGGTCCAAACACCAAACCCACCTCAACAAGGATGCCAATGAGGAAGAAAGGGATGCATTCAACAATGCATCCAAAAATGAAAAGGGTGAGCTGACAGCCCTTTTCCTCATGAGAAAGGAAGCTGCCAAGTTCTGCAATGTTAGCAGGTCCATTGGCACCAAGCAAGAGGTGACCATGACAGAGCACTGGTTATCAGAGAAAGAAGCCCTTGAAAAATGGGGAGATGATTTGGAAAAACATTGCGCCAGTGGCAGGGTGCAGTGGAGGCAGTGTAAGACAACTTGGGGAGTCTATGAGTACATGGACACACAGGACTACACAAAGACAACCACAGGAACAGCCAAAAGGAGCTGGACCCAAGGCCAGGAGTTCCAGCAGAATGAGGGTGAATATGGAAGCTGGGACAACTTCTTGGAAAAGGAGCTGCATTCGCTGATCATGGATCAAACCCCTGGGAAGGGGAAGGGAAAGGGAAGGTGAGCCAAAAAAAAGGCAAAGGCAGGGGCAAAGGAGATACCAACCAGGAAGCACCCAAAGCACTTGAAGACTTGCCACCAGATGAGCAGCAAGTTGAGTGCATCAAGAAGCTCAAAAAACGAGGGGTTTAGTGCAGCAATGCATGACAAACTATGAAGAAGCACTTGAAAAGTGAAAGGCATGAAGTACCTCATAAAGCCTGCCTTCAAAGAGAAGGAAGCACAGCTCGCAAAGCTGGAAGCAACACTTGGGAAAGTGAAGAAACAACTTGCAAAAGGTGACAAGGGAAAGGTCAGCATCACCAAAGATGTCTTGAAAGAAGCTGTGGCCACCATCTCAGAAGCCAAAGAGGAAGCCAAGGAGCTTGTCCAGATCAGCATGAAGACCCAATCCAAAAGTTCCAGAAAGTGAGAACATGGCAGAATCCTTGCAAAAGGGATGCATTTTTGTAAAAAAAAAAAGGAAATCACCTTTGCAAAAGGATGGGTCCAAAGAAAGGGTTTGTGTGGGTGTGGGAGATTGAGTCCACCTCTGCAATGTATGTGTGAACACATATACACCTTTGAAAAAAGGACTTGCCTTTGCAAAAGGGGATGGCAAGTGGACACTCCTCACACAACAACTCTTTTACAAGGGACCTGTAGCATTTTTGAGTGCCTTGAGCACAAAAGCACCAGGCACAGACCAACCAACTTGTGCAAACAAATTGCGTCTGGCTGCTGGTGCTTCTTGGGGTACCTGTGTGGTTCTTATGGTTGTTCTGGAACTAAATGTGTTTCACCCTGCACAAGCTGTACTTTTGAAATGTTGTTGTCCCCCCACCCTTTCACCACCCACATGTGTTCATGCCTGCAGCTTTTTGGCTTAGGCCTTGGGCCATAGGCCAGCCTTTTAACAAAGGCTTTGCCCACAAGGTGACCTTTGCAAAAGGGGCCAAGCAACCTTTGCAAAAGGGGGATGCAAGGTGTAAAGAGGCTGAGAGGAGTGGACGTTGAAGGCAGCATGGAATAGAAGAAGGGAAAGCAGTTGCACCTTTGAAAAAGGGAAGGTGCACATCGAGAGGACCC